AAGTTTTGGCATTGATTTTCCTTCTCGATAAGTTAAATTAGTTTGTTGACTGATCTTGGCGCACTTTGACCGCATGTTCACCTCATTTTTCGTGTGCTCATGTTTTGCTCCGAGATTCGTGCCGCCGCAATCCTATCATACACTAATATAGTTTATATCTTAAATATTCCTTAGAAGTATGCGATCCATATTCATGGATGTTTATATGTAAATATATCTCAAATGAGATTTTGTAAATGGCAACACATTCATCTAAATGAGAATTACATATACATTTTCTAGTAATAATTATCACTTCCAAAGCACAGATATCCTGCGTAGTGTTTACAAGGAATATAGTGGCAGCTGGCACAATGTGAAGCTTCAACCTCAATTAGTTATTCCGTATAATTAACTAGCTCTAGCTGTTCAGTATAATTAATTATATCTGCCAACCCTTTAAACAGCAGGAAGTAGAGCATGCAACTGCAACTGCAGCTTTATTATTATATTAGCTGTTGCTGTTTAATGTAACCTAATTGGTTTTAATGGTATTAACTGCAGTAAGACATAATAAACTTCATTAAAAACAAAAACATGCTGCAATATCATTTAATAATTTGACTTAACTGTAGCTTATTAACTTTAGAAAATGACGTAAACTTACTTTTACAAAAATACATGAGGAACATGACTTAACTTTGTTATTGTTGCTAGTTGCAGCTGACTTCCAATGGTGATAGCAGAGGACAACAAGTGATCTATAGCTATCAGCAGCTAACAATGTTAGGCAATGATAGTAGCATTTGGCATCAAGAGTGGCAGGGGCTGCACAATATACGAGCGATATATTTGAAATTCATCAAAATTAGATGAATTTTAATACATTGAAAATGAAATAGAGAGATATTTCCAAATATATTATGATACTACATACACACATATTTTTCCTTCAATCAAACGTCAAAGATTTTGTCATGCATTTCATTTACACTACACTAGAAACATTTGAAACTAAATAACCCCTAAATGATTTCATATGATTCATGAAAAATATTTTAGTATTAATAAATAAAATAAACAAGAAATTTAGGATATTATTAATTAAAATAAAAATAAAATTTTTAAGTGATATAATTAAATTTAGATGAGTGATAAAAAAATATAAAAAGATATTTTAACAGTTCAAAATGCATGAATTCCATAGTTAAAAAGAAAATTACTGATCAATTTGGATAAACATTAATAGAGAATAAAAAATTATAAATCCAACTCCAAATAGTTGGATAAAATCAATGATGATGGTGGCTTTGATGTTGGAAAGCAATCACTTTGAAAATAAGCTCAGCTAGACTTACATGCAACATCATTGAATTGATACAACTAACACGAGCAGTCAGTGCAACATTGTCCAAGTTTCAGACATCAATCAAAAATGCAAAAACAATCTTTTTTGAAGGAAAAAAAATATATACTGTAAGCTATTACATAACTTCTAATTGCTACAATATTAGCCCTCTAGTTCAATAAACTCGCAAGACTAGGGGTAAGAAGTTGGAGCAAAATTTTAATCAGCCTTGTATTACCTTTTCAGAAGCTACATATGAAGTGGAATGCTGTAGGCTAAATGGCCAAAATAATAAAATAAAAAATAAGAAGGAATCCCAGCTTTTGCTTTTGTTGCAAATCACATCGTTTAAACTTGCACAAATACTGGAACTGTAGACTTTTGGGTGAATCCATCATGGCACAAAGAAGCAAGCACCAAGAATGATCAAGGAAACCAAACCTCAAGAAAAAATTTCCTTAATCTTGGTTTTCTGATGTTCGGTTAGCGATCGTGGGAAGGAAACTTCAAAAGTAACATATAGATCTCCTTTCTTAGAGCTCATATGCACAGGCATCCCTTCACCTTTGAACTTCTTAATTTCTTTAGGTTTTGTGATCCCCTGAAAATTAAACCTGATTTTATAAGTCACCCGGTTTAAAGATATGGAAAATAATGGTAAGATATTGGATGAAGATGATAGCTAACCTTTGCACCGATATCAACCAGATGATCATCGAGATGTTTCATGCTTTTTTCAAAACCAACAAGAGCTTCAACCTGACAAAAAGAATATATAGTTACATAATGAAATTCAAAACAAAGCTTAAAAACTGTATATAAAATCATGCTTGCTCATCCCTTGGCCTGCATATATGAGAAGGGTTCAGGCCAGGGAAAATACTGAAAATTTCATTGCATAATTAAAAGCAAAATTATAAAATCAAACTCTGAAAGAATGAAACATTTGGACCAACCAAACCGAAAATATGGCCAATTAAAGCCAGAATGCACCACCTCAAAATCACATACACATCACTTTTGTGGCTTGAAGCAAAAAAGGAAAAAATGGAGAACCCAGCAAATCTAAGATTTAAGTTGTTTTTGACCTTCCATGGACCGCATTTTACAACCCACGCACAAACACAGCATAATTTATAATGGCATATTGAACTTTTGGTAAACATTCCTTACGAAGACCCAAATGTAAATTCGTGCCTTTTATTTTGCCCAGAAAACAGACAAAATCTACTTTGTACATACTACAATAAATCAATTTACATTGCAAGACGTGACTGTTACAGCTTATTATACATTCATAGATGGTACACTTCAACTACCATAAGTCAGCTGTTTTATAATTTGCAGGGCCTAGAAACCACTCAAAAGATAGAACAAAGTCTCGTGCACAGAACGGTGAGGAGGGAGGTGGAGAGGGATCAAAAGAGGGAGAGAGAGAGCAGAGAGAGAGCTTCATCATTTGTGAATATGCATTCATCTATTTTTACTAGGCAAGTCGAAAGGGCAGAAAGAAGAGAGCATTTGTGCACATACATTATTATTCCACAAATTAGTACGTTTAGTTTTAGCTTAATAGTTCTTGAAAGTATGTTGCATGGGCATCCTACCCGAATGCACACAACTATGCAAAACTGAGCCCACTATACATCAAATGTAATGACTTGAGCCAAGCTAAGATACAATCAGTTACATATTTAAGACAATGTTCTCTGCTATGATGCAATTTCCATATTATTATTAAGGGACATTTGGGAGCAATCCCCCAAATAAGTGCAAAACCACTCATCCACCTGAGCATTCTCATGAAACCCAATATCAAAGTTCAACAGTATTTTGAAATTAAAAAAAATAATAGAACAAAAAACAAAATTGTAGGCTTATTTAAAAGTTATTTAAATGTGTAATTTTCCTTAAAAAAATCACTACTCTTATTCAAAGTTAATACTTTAAAGTCTAAATTAAAACATGATATATCAGCGCAAGACTAAAAACAAATTTTACATTACATAAACTGAATAGATGAAAATTTCTTTCCGGAGTACAGGTTTTGACTAAGTATAATGTAGTTCTCACATTCATGCAAATTAATTAAAAATAATTTCTCAATCCAAAGATGCATCATTCATCATGTCATCTTCACATATGAAGTGCAGTTTTAGAAAATTTGTTTGTTCAAATACTACAACAACAGAAACAACAAGCTTTTATTCCACTAAGTAGGGGGTCAGCTACATGAAGCCTTAATCTTCATTGTATCCTAGTATGATCATTTCTTATACAATATGCCCAAGTTTTTTTAGGTATACCTCTACCATTTTAGCATAAATCAAATCTAAAACATCTATTCTCTTAACAATCAGATGGTCGGCGTTTAAAGTGACCAAATCCTCTAAGGCGACTCTTTCTAATATTGTTTTCTACTGGAGCTACTCCAACACTTTTATAGATATATTTGTTTAGCATTTTGTCTCTAAGTGTTAAACCACTCATCCACTTGAGCATTCTCATCTAAGCAACATTTAATTTTTTGCTTCTATTTTACAGGCCAACATCTACTCCATAAAACATTGCATATCTCACCACCATCTTATAAAATTTTCTTTTAAGTCAAAGCAGCACTTTTATATCACACAATAGGCCTAATGCATTCCTCTACTTCAAAAACCCAACTTAAATTATACTAATAACATCTCCATCTATATCACCATCACTTTGAACAATAGCACCATGATATCTAAAATGTTCACTCATTTTAATGACTTGATCACCCCATTGTTACAACCCTGCCACTAGATCTACTATTACTAAACTAACATTGCATGCATGCAGCTTTAGATATACTCAACGAGAGCTTAAAGACTCTAAATTTGGCCTTCTATAATTAAAACTTTTCTGGAACTCTCACTAGTCTTATCATAAGAAAAATATGTTCAACAAAAAGATACACCGAGGTACATCCTCATAATAATTGTCTAGTAAGAACATCTATAACTAAAGAAAAAGGATATGAGCTTAAAGTTGATCTCTAATGTAATCCAATTGATAGGAAATACTTGGTGAATCTTTCTTGTGTTTGAACACGAGTAACTCTAGTATAAATGTATTGCTTTTCTATAACACTTGTATAAATGTATAGTTTTTCTACTATAAAATATCTTTATGACATGAATGTAAGCAATATCAACACCTTTCTCTTCTAGAACTCTCCAAATTACTTATCAACAAAAATCATATGTAAATCCTCCTTTCTCTCTTTATATTTTCTTTCAAACTTCTCCATAAATGTATAGCTTCCATATTAGACTTTTCCAGCATGAAAGTGAACTGATTTTGAGAAATTTTTGTATCACTTTGTAACCTATATTCAATCACTCTCTCCCGTAACTTAAATGCATGGCACATTAACTTAATTCTACTGTAATTTGCACACTCTTCAACATCCTCTTTTATTCTTAAAAGTAGGAACCAATAAAATCTTTCTCTACTCATCAGACATCTTTTTAGTTTTTAAAATAATATTAAAAATAAGAGAAGAAATTCTCATATCTCCTAAATATTTTCACACTTTTATTTAAATATCATATGGTCTTACTATTTTCCACACTTCATTTTCTTTAAAGCCTTCTCAACTACTGTTTTACTAATGTGATGGTGAAAACTAAAAAAATTTGTGATCATTTACAATATTAAAATCACTAAAATCAAACAATTTTCTCAATATTCATTAAAAAGTTTATCAAAATATCTCACCAACCTATGTTGAATATCTTCATCTAAGAAGCATTTTTTTTAATTTTCATCCTTAATACATTTTACTTGAACTAAATCTTTACTTTTTTCATCTCTTTGTTTAGCTACTTTATAAATAGATTGTTCAAATGAGGAGAAAAAATGCACGCACATAGACACACACACAGATATATATATATATATATCTATATCTGTGTGTGTGTGGGTGTGTGTCGAAAAGCGGAGGGGTATGTATGTATGTATGTATGTATGTATGTATGTATGTATGTATGTATGTATGTATGTATGTATGTATGTATGTATGTATGTATGTATGTATGTATGTATGTATGTATGTATGTATGTATGTATGTATGTATGTATGTATGTATGTATGTATGTATGTATGTATGTATGTATGTATGTATGTATGTATGTATGTATGTATGTATGTATGTATGTATCTACGTATGTATGTATGTATCTACGTATGTATGTATGTATATACGTATGTATGTATGTATGTAGGTATATACGTATGTATGTATGTATGTAGGTATATACGTATGTATGTATGTATGTAGGTATATACGTATGTATGTATGTATGTAGGTATATACGTATGTATGTATGTATGTAGGTATATACGTATGTATGTATGTATATATGTATATACGTATGTATGTATATGTATGTATGTATAGATATATGTATGTAGCTATAGATGTATATATATATATATATAGACATAGACATAGATATAAATATGGATTGAAAATTTATCTTCTATTTAAGCTTAGGCCATGCAAATACCTATTCTTAGTTGAGAACTCATATACCGTCTTAATTTTAGATTGGAAAAAAATAACCATGACATCAAAATAATTCTGACTAATAATCAGAAAGATCATTGTTGAAGATGCTTCTGCAAAGCTGACAGCCTAACAATCAGAAGTGGTGATGATTCTTTTTAATGAAAAACTTAGCAGGAAATCAAAATATAGCATAATTTAAAAGAAAAAACATTGCAACCAAAGCTAATCACGAAGAAATGGTGGTATTGAATGGGAACTCCTATGGGATGCTATCATTGATCTGGGCCAACGTATTGAACAAACTTGCTCAATTTAGGCGATTTTAATTGCATCAACTTGACAATCCTATTACATCTTTCACCAAGTTGATTAGTCTCAATGATTGCATTTTCAATGCAATGTTAGTGGGATTACTAACAAAGGCCTCTCTTAAAATAGGTTTAACTATGAGCATGTCAATTCTAATGGATATATCTTCGATGGAGACTTCTGCAACATCATCTAACTGAATCTTTTTCTTCGTGTTTACTATAAGGTCTACCCACTAGCTATCTTCCCATCACTCCCCTGTTACTATGAAAAATTGGTATAATCCCAATTCTCTTCATCATTCATGTATAAAAACTTTTGAAATCATGATATAGATTACACCAATGCTAGGAATATTGATATGAGGAAAATCCTCTTGGAGAAGCTTCAAGCATATTGTCCCTACCATTTCTTCCGTCAAAAGATGAATACAATGTCATTTAAGCTTTGATTCAAATCATTCCCCTTGACTCTAATCTCATCCACAAAGCCAAATCTTAATGGAATAAGATTACCATTGCTACTTCACTTCAACTTAAGTAGATTAAGCAAAGGCTAAATATGCTAAGGATGCTAAATGTGAGTAAAACATTAAATTTCTTATCACAACATTAAGGGCGGGAGATATCAAAGCTTCATTAGGAATTAACTACTACAAACGAGTGCATTAATTCTCAAGAAAACAATGCAAAAAAGAAGAACAAAAATAACGCTTCTTTGTCTGATATTCTCAATTACTCGAATTATTCATCTGGCAATCTCCTCCAAGTGCCAATCATCCTTTCCTATTTTAATAAAAAATTATGCCCCCATTTCCCTATGAAGATATTAATGATACTATTTTCAGTACAAGGAATAATAAGAGCCTTCATCCTGATGACTTTAGCTTTAAATTCTTTATAAATT